CTGAGAACCTTCTTTATCACATCAGAGTGATTTCATCTTTCTAAGGCTTCTATTCTTTTGGTTTCTCAAATATTGTGATTTTTTTCAAGATTTACAGAACTTTTAGGAATAGATACTAGAACAGCATTTTGTTCTATGTAATATTAATCCCTTAAAAGTTTTAGTTAAACTGTATTTCATTGTCCTGAAAATACTTTTCTAAGCATGTCTTTATTTATATGGTTATATCCATTGTATAGAGTGGTATTGAGATTAAGGCTTTTAAAGGAGAAAGACCATGTCAAAGAGTCCTCCTATAATAGCTGGAAATTATAATAAAGCTTACACTGAACTGGAAATATTCAGATCGTGTAGAAGTTTGAGAGAAAAAGTCAGGTTTAAAGGACATAACATCATAGTTTGTTGTTCTTTGATCTGCTATTTGCAGAAATTTAAGAATTCATCAGATAGAAAGATAATATTTTGCAGAAATATACACAGAGTAAAACTTAGAAAGCTAAGTTATCTGTAGATTCATGTTAATGACATGCACATCAAATTCCATTATTCTGCAGTAAACTATTGTCATACCAGAAATATAGGCTTCATTATTGAACATGACATATGAACAACTCTAGCATAATTTCCCATGCAGCTGAGGCGACAAACTAGATGAATTATATGGTACTACTTACAGATAAGAAGCAATATAAAGGGTCTATGCTAAATACAGAACATGTACTTTTAGCCAGTAATTTCCAAACTCAGACTGCACAGCATAATCACCTAAATACATTTACTAAAAATGCAGATTCCCTGATCTCACATGAATTTATTGACTAAGAAATTCTATGTCTTAAAATCCATCATTGTCTTTAAAGAAAAATCTCTCCTATGATTCTGAAGTGTAGACTCAACATATGAATATATGGTTTAATTTATAAATATTGCATAAATATGCATAGGTAGTTGGGATAATGTGGAGGCTTTCATGGAGAAGCTGGATTTGAGATAGTTTTGGTTTTTTTGTTGTCGTTTTGTTTTGTTTTTTGTTTTGTTTTGTTTTGTTTGAGATACAGTCTCACTCGTTCACCCGGGCTGGAATGCAGTGGCATGATCTTGGCTCACTGCAACCTCCGCCTCTTGGATTCAAGCAATTCTGTCTCATCCTCCCCAGTAGCTAGAATTACAGGCCTGCAGCACCACACCTAGCTAATTTTTGTATTTTTAGGAGAGATGGGGTTTTTCCATATTGGACAGGCTGGTCTAGAACTCCTGGCCTCAAGTGACTGCCCGCCTCGGCCTCCCAAAGTGCTGGAATTACACGTGTGAGCCACCACACCCAGTCTGAGATACAGTTTTGTAAAACGGCATGGCATTTAGGAAAGGAGTATTACTCTGAGCACAGTTGTAGAGGTAGAAATAGAAATTGCATGGAAATAATTAGTTTATAAAATAACAAATTATTTTTAATAGGGTGGAGTTGAATATAAAGTTAAAGAGGTAAATACATGCCAGCCTGGATATAGCAAGATACTGGGCTTTATCTTTTAGGCAATGGTAAACTCAATAACCAAAGATTTTTGTCCAAGGAGCATATATATGTAAATAAATTTTGAAAGAATGCATTTTCAATTAATATGTGACATTCATTGGCAGGCTGAGGACTAAAAACAAATCAAACAATAGTACATTAGATTTGAGGTAATGAGGATTTGTGCAGAATGCTTCCTTTGCTAAGGAAAATAAGAAAAGAGATGAGCCCAAGGATGATCATAAAGGAAGAACTGATAACAAAGAGAATGCAATACTAATAGTAACTTAGGAAAATACAAAGGAAAAAAAGTATTAAAAATGGTAAGTCTGTATATTTAAAAGATGACAATCAAAATATTTATCAGTTTGTAATCAGAATAGTATACACCAAGATAATTTATTTAAATAATTATAATTGTATTAATAAACCCTTTAAGCAAAATATTGCTACATATTTTTACACAGAAAATAATATGGCTAGTAAATAAATCATTATTTTCAGAAACACAAGCACATTTCCCCTCTTACATATAGTTTTGATACCATAAAATAATGGTGTTTTCTCAGACAAACTAGCATCAGACTATTTGTGTCAAAAAACAAATTTAGTGATATATGTATAAAACCAACAGATTTCCCTAGTAAAAGACTGTTACACATCAAATATGTTCTTTACAAAATATTTTACAAATGAAAATAACATTTAGTTGAAATGCAAGAAATCGGTTAAAAGTGCACTTGATTAATAAAAGCCATATATGACATACCCACAGCCAACATCATACTGAATGGGAAAAAGCTGAATGCATTTCCCCAAAACTGGAACAATATAAGGTTACCCACTCACCACCTCTCAACATAGTACTAGAAGTCCTAGCCAGAGCAATCAGGCAAGAGAAAGAAATAAAACGTCCAAATTTTAAAAGGGGAAGTCAAATTATCTGTGTTTGCTGATAATAAGATTGTATACCTAGCAAACTCTAAAAGACTCCTTCAAAAGACTCCTAGACTTGAGAAATGGCATCAGTGAAGTTTCAAGATACAAAATCAAAGTAGAAGCATGTCTATACACCAATAACATTCAAACTGAGAATGAAATCAAGAAGACTGTCCCATTTACAATAACCACACACACAAAAGAATTACTTAGGAAAACATTTAACTAAGAAGGTGAAAGACCTCTGCAGGAGAACTGCAAAATACTGATGAAATAAATAAATGACACAAACAAAAGGAAGAACATCCCATGCTCATGGATTATAAGAATCAATATCATTAAAATGACCATACTACCCAAAGCAATCTAGAGATTCAGCACAAATCCTATCAAATTATCAGTGTCATTTTTCACAGAATTAGGAAAAAAATGCTGAAATTCATATAGAATCCTAAAATAGCCTGAATAGCCAAAGCAATCCTAAGTAAAAAACAAAGCTGGAGCCATCACATTACCTGACTTTATGCTACAAGACTATAGTAACCAAAATAGCATAGTACTGGCACAAATATAGATACACAGATCAAGGGCACAGAAAAAAGAACTCAGAAACAAAACCACATACCTATAACCAACTGATCTTCAACAGAGTCAACAAAAAAATGCAATGAGGAAAGGACAACCCTATTTAATAAATGATGCTGCAAAAATTGGATAGCCATATGCAGAGCAATGAAACTGGACCCCTATTGCTCACCAGATACAAAAATTTACTCAAGGTGGATTAAAGACTTGAACATAAGACCTGAAACTTAAAATCCTAGAAGAAAACCAAAGAAAATGCTTTTGGACATTGGCATAAGCAAGGAGTTTATGAGTAAGACCTTAAAAGCAAATGCAACAAAAACGAAGACACAAATGGGACTTAATTAGACTAAAGAGCTTCTGCACAGCAAAAGAAATAATCAACAGAGTATACAGAAAACTAACTGAATAGGAGAAAATATTTTCAACCTATGCATCTGACAAGGACTAATACTCAGAATCTGCAAGAGACAACTCAACAAACAAAAGACAAGTAGCCCCATTAAAAAGTTGGCAAAGGACATGAACACACATTCCTCAGAAGAGACACACAGGCAGCTCACAAACATATAAAAAAATGCTCAACATCATTCATCATCCAAGAAATGCAAATTAAAACCAAAATGAGATACCATCTCATACCAGTCAGAATGGCTACTATTAAAAAGACAAAAAAGAACAGATGTTGGTGAGGATGCAGAGAAAAGGGAATACTTATACATTATTGGTGAAAATGTAAATAAATACAACCACTATAGAAAACAGTATGGAGGGTTCTCAAAGACCTAAAAATAGAACTACCATTTGACTCAGCAGTCCCGCCATTGAGTATCTATGCAAAGGAAACAAGTCCTCGTATCAAACAGACATGTGTACTCATATGTTTATCACAGCACTATTCATATTAGCAAAGTTATGAAATCAATCAATGTGTCCACCAACAGATAACTGGATAAAGCAGGTGTGTGTGTGTGTGTGTGTGTGTGTGTGTGTGTGTAATAATATGCAGCCAAAAAAGAATGAAATTATGTATTTTACAGCAATGTGAATGGAGCTAGAGGCCATTATCCTAAGTGAAATAACTCAGAAACAGAAAATCAAATATTTCATGTTCTCACTTGTAAGTGGGAACTAAACAATGGGCCCACATGGACATAGAGAGAGAGAGAGATAATAGACACTGAGGTCTCCAAAAGCAGAGAGAGTTGAAAATTTACATATTGGGTACAATGTTCACTATCTGGCTGATGAGTATACTAGAAGCCCAAACCTTACCATTTTGCTATATATCCATCCCCCGAATCTATAAAAATAAAAAAGCTTAAATGATAAAAATAAAAAAGAGAAAAAAAGTACCTTTTACCTGAGAAATTCAGATTATCAAACATTTTTATTAGCATAATTCTAACATCACCTAATCTACCAAGAAAAAGCAATTACTTTAATAACGTATCTAGCTAAGACATCTTGATATTATTTATAAACATTTTAAGGCCAGAAAAAATAAGGCAGATAAGTATATTTAAAGACTGTAACAAGGATCCAGCTCTAAAAGTAGACATGTGCTAACTTCTGAACGTCAATGATTAAATTAAATAATCATGAATCAATTATTTGTTTGCAAACCATGTATTAGACCTTTGAAAGCTGTCTGCTCAAGCATTACTGATGTCATTCACTCTTTCTCTTCAAGTCATACTGTACCTTTTCCTTTAACCTTCTTTACTCTCATGTCCTTTTCATTACCCAAAACTCTGTCTTAGATCAGCCAGAGGTTCTCAACAGCATTGTGCCCAATTTATGAGCATCAGTGCTTCTGACCCATGTTTTGCCTTGACTGTCGATGCTGCAGCTCATGTTTAATTTTAAGAAACATTTCGAGAAGGTTGCCACATCCTAGAAAATAATAACAGCAAAAAATAAAAGTAAAAAAGAACCTTAACAAATCTTGTATTTCTCCTAGTGCTCAATTACCTGTGGCAAAGGAATGCAGTCCCGTGTTATCCAATGCATGCATAAGATCACAGGAAGACATGGAAATGAATGTTTTTCCTCAGAAAAACCTGCAGCATACAGGCCATGCCACCTTCAACCCTGCAATGAGAAAATTAATGTAAATACCATAACATCACCCAGACTGGGTAAGCAGACAAAACAAAAAAGATGTTTTTGAGAAATATAGAAATGCTTATGGCTTCTTGTATTTTGTATATTACTTTAAACCTTGATAGTTGTAAACCTATACTGATTATTTTGGTTTGGACTAAATTGGATCCATTTAAATATGATTTTGTCCAAATGGTCAGGTGGGTAAAAAAAAAGTCCTAAAAACTTAAACTGCTTTGATTCCCAAAGTTGTCCAATCAGAGCCAGATCCAGGAAATAATAATGCCACACCACCCCAGGTCTTTTTGTAACCAAAACTCAGATCAATCCCATGGCAGAACTATCAATTAAGTTAATATCTGCAGAAAGATGAGATTGTAGTGTAAGCCTTAGATTTCTCCATGATTTATAGCCTTCCTTGTTATCTGGGTACAAATTATTCCTTGGAGGGACATAGACTAAAAACTGTCTTTCAAGAAGAATGGGTGCATGGATCTACACCATTAAACAAGAAGTTCTATTTTCTTTTTAAGTTTTGAGAATATGATACTAAATAAAAAAACAAATTCTAGTAGTATTGAATATATTGATGTTTACATTGTTTTATGTTACAAAATGCCTTCATATATTTCCTCAACTTCTGTTATTTAATCTAAACCATAATCGAGAATTAGAGTATATATTTTAAGTAGATAGAGCCTACACTTGCATAACAAATACTAATGAATGATTTAGCATTTATGTCTGTGACTTAGTAGCTTTTAACAGCACTCCTGCCTGATTGTCAGTGGGTTAATTTATGTTTAATACCTTTGGTTTTAACCTGTGCATATAATCTCCAGGGGAACAATTTGAATCATACAAAATAATATTACCAAAATGTAGGAAGATAAATTGTCATATGTATTTTTCCAGGCATAAGATTCAGTCAAATGAGAAAACTTGGTTTCTTCATGGAAATACAAAAATTCTCTTTTGGGGGCCAAATAATTAACTAACATTTCTAAGAAATAATCAGTTCAAGGTGAATAACACTGATTAAGACAAAAAGTTAAGCAACTCTAGAGCGGATGTACTAAATACATTTATTCAATAGCAGTATAATTCCTTTCTCCAACAATTACTTTACAGTATATTTCCTTTCTCCAACAAGTCCTTGAAATATTATGTGGCAGAAAATAATGGATTAAAAGAAAATTTTATTAAAATTGCATTTTCTCTATTTATTATTCCTTGAAGGTGTACCCCAAAATACAGAAGCACAATGGTTAGGAAAATCTAAGGTCTTTAAAAATGGAATAATTATGTTAGAATACAATTCTTTCCCATATGCAAAAGAAATAATTGTAGCAGGAGTGACTTTCATTATGCATTCCAGAACACACTATTGTTTTACAAAAAGGGAGGCCAAGTCTACATGACCAAATATTCTATACCAAGTTCTCATTTCAAACACTTCAACTATTGCTATAAATCTCAGTCACTTGTGATGATGTGCGTTGATTTTTATAGAACCCTGAAATCACAGCTCCAGATAATCCATTTAGATGTGACTGTTGTCTGGGGAAACTAGGAATATGAAATAACTGTGAGCATATTTTTGCTTTGCTGTTTCCTTGTAATTTCAACCTCAATAATAGTATTTATTAATTTGTATTCCCATAAAGGCAGATATATTGAGCACATTTATTTTTCTTTTTAATTTTCTCTACTAAAATTCAAAAGAAGCTTAAATGAAAGCTATGAAACTGAAGCTTAAAAGTACAACACATTGAACCTGGGAATTATATCTTTAATAAGCCTAAAAACATTTATAAGTAAAAATATTATTCATTCTTTACTTTTTAATCATAGGAGGGGTGTGTGTGTATATCTCTTTGTTGCTTAAATTCCAGAAGGTAATATAAATGAATCAAAGAGAGTGTACAAAATCTGCCCCCATTTAAACGCTTGAAGTTTGTTGTTACTGACATATATGATATCTGCATGGGCTGAATTCACTATGTTCTATTTCACAGCTGCTCTGACTTTCAAGTGCCTGGGAGATCAGTGGCCAGTGTACTGCCGAGTGATCCGTGAAAAGAACCTATGTCAGGACATGCGGTGGTATCAGCGCTGCTGTGAAACATGCAGGGACTTCTATGCCCGAAAGCTGCAGCAGAAGAGTTGACCTCTAGCAGGCTGGCTGGATCACAGCTCGTTGCAATTACATTATTTATAAACACACACACTAGCATGTTTTTCAGACCAAATATTATCAGATTACATATAATTTAATCAAATTAATTTATTTTTTTTGCCTGCCAAACATCTAATGTGGTGCTTGTTTTGGTTACACAAACATTTTGATTTCTACTATATGGCTTCATAAATAATTTTATATGAATGAATTAGTTGGATCCAGTAATATAATGAAAAGAAAAAGGAAAAAAATAGATCATTATACTTAAAACAATGTTTTGTTGTTTTGTTAGGGCTATCCCTAAGGTGCTACTCTCTCCCCACCAATAACATTGAATTATCCAGAATGTATACTGACTTAGCATAATAGTTCAGGTATATATGAAGAGAAACTATTTTTGTTTTTTGGTGTCCTGCTGCAGAATTAGCCCATTTTCTGTTATCTGCAGGAGATGTGTAAACATAATGAACCTCATGGTGTTGAACAGGTTTTTAGAGAATGTATTATGAATTTGGTTGAGATTTATAGACATCCATAGGAAAAATTCTGCTGTAATTATAACCTTATTTTGATATGGAAAGGAAAAGTCAAAATAGAGACTTTGATCATGTTCATGAACATGTACTTGAACACAAGTATTGTAACAATGAAACACTGTAATGATTTACACTGAATCACAATTGCACTGTTGATATAGTGGAGAGAAATCGTTAGAAATGGTAACATCTTACAAAAATGTGTATTATTTTAACATGTTATCACTAGATTTTAGCTTTTTTAAAAATATTTTTAACAAAGAAAACATTGATCCACCCATTTCCCTGTATCTTTTTAGCAGATTTATTAGAGTATAGTACTTAGCCTCACGAATCATAATTAGAAAATTTACTAATATTTCTCAGCCTTCTCCCTAGGAACAAGGAAAAACAGAAAGCATATAATACTGTGGTAGTTTCATTGTGTTTTTCTTCCTTTTAAAAATTAAAAAGTTTTACAGTTATGTGAAACGTTCAAAAGCCAGCTTAAAATTTTTCTTGTGAGAAAATATTGTACATGATTCACATGATTTCTTAGATTTTTCAATAAAATATGTAAAACTTGCCATTGAGAGACAATTCTTCATAGACTTGTCACATATCCGCATGTCTGACCGACAAAGGTACTGTCTACTTTTGTTCTGGAGTATCTTCTAGAGGATGTTTGTATAGTGAACTGCCTTGGAGGATAGTATCTCTCTTGGGAGCAAAGGGCAAACATGCTTCTCATTATAAAAGTTTCAGGTTCCCTAAAATTGGGGTTTCTTTACTATAAGACAATCCAATGCATGTGCTGACGTCGCCTGGCTCTCTTCATGTCACCCTATGGGAAATGGGGCTCAAGGAGCCAGTACAGGAAAAGCGGATTCCCTGGCTACTATTGCTGTGAGTAACGAAGTCGTTTGTCTCTAATGCAGGAGTCTTATGTCTTCTGCCCTGAAATCATAATAGGCTAACTTGATAAGTTGCAAGAAGGGTAAAACCTCAAAAGCTTCACAGTTCTTTACATTTCTCTCATTAATATTTTTCACCCTGATTTTTAATAAATGTGTTTTAATATCAAGGTCATATTTTTTCCTAGATTGACCCTTCCTATGTAAATCCTTTAATTTAATTGCTGAGATATAGGGTTAACCAATATCAACAAATTTTATGTGAGATAGTAGAAGAATGGGAGAAGGAAAAAATGAAATAGTAACTTCCATCCCTTGACTCCTGAATCCATAAATCTAGGTAGAAATAGCACCATGTATTGGTTGATAATTCAGAAAATATACATCTTAGAGAACATTATCTCAGACCTCCAAAGTGTTTTCATCCACCTGGTAGGAGACTAAACTTTTCTTAAAAAGACATATCATTCTGTTAGGCCATCTGCTTCGGGGTGATGGTGAGCACGGTACTATGAGAGATTTACATGACAGGGGGCCCCTGTCCACACTTTATTTGCTATCACATAAGTTCCTTGAACAAAAACAATATTGAATGAAATACCCTAACAGTGAGTGAGACATTTGTTTAGTTCACAGATGGCATTTTGGCAGGAGCATTACAAACTGGGAAAGCAAATTTATTTCAGATCAACTGACTGTTTTTGCAAGAACAAGCTACTGCCTCTTCTGTGATAGAAGGAGTCTAATGTAATCAACCTACAATCAAGATGGTGGGTTGCTTCTCCCATAGAAGGGTACCATAATGTCTTCTCTGCTATTGTTAGATGGAACCCTCAGCAGTGACTGTAGCTAGATTGACCTTGGTGAAAGTAAGTTCATGTTGCTTAGCCCATGCATAATCTCCACTCCTGCTACCATTATCTCTTTATTTTTGAGGGTATTGGTCAAGGACAGAGGTGCGTGGAAGAGACTGATCAACATCAAAAGAACATGTCATCTTATCCACCTGATGATCAAGATCAGTTTCTCCTAAGTATGCTGTTTGGTGAACACTCAAATGGAATATAAGTATATACAGTTCAAGGAGTTCTATCCATTCTTTTTCCTCAGAACTTCATTATTACCAGTTTTTGTCTTGCTCCTTTCAGGTTCCTACCAAACCCATTAGACACAGCCCATAAGTTAGTGCATAGCCATACCTCTGGCTGTTTTTTCTTCTGGTCAAAATAAACAGCCAGATGCACAGCTTGAATTCCTTCTGAGAGGATTTTTCTTACTAATCATTCAGGGCACCTCTGTGCAGGGTTGTAGAGCTACAGCTGTCTACACTTGGTTATGCTAGCATATTGTGAAGAACCATTAGTAAACCAGGACCAAATGTTTTCTGTCTCAGTCAATTCATTATGATAAAGTCTCTATGAGGCTGTGTGGGTTGAGAGAGTGGAGGCAATGTAGCAGTAGTAGGACCCTTAACCATCAGATCCAATTATTCAAGGGACTCATGCCTAAGTGTGTGCTCAAGACTATAATCTTGTACCCTTGATGATGGAGTGATATTCTGCCCAGGTAACCTGGGTGGATCAGACACCACCGAGGTTATAATGAGCAGTTCAAGTTACATGGGAATTTGGTGACCTGTGGTCAAGCATTAAACATTTACTAGCATTTCATTGCAAACCAGAAATAGTTTCTCAAAACAGAAAAAATTATTTGTAGAAAAGGACACAGCTTTCTCCAAAGTTATTAAGACCTCACGGTGATTCACCAATAGGATTCTGCTGGAAGCTCCATATAGGATCCTTATGTGCCACTGATTCTTTAAGTACCATAATGTCTGCTGTGCCATATTGCCTAACTAGCAGAGTAGCTTCAATTGCAACCTGAACTGATTATAGATTCTCTCCTTATTCTGTGCACTACATGAAACTGGAAGTCTCTGGGGTTACTCAGTAATAATGTATAAAGTAGCATTCCAAAATGAGTTATACATGTCACAGCCCAAATGGGGTGTGTCTCTCTTAGGAAGGGCTAGAGGCAGGAATTTGCACTTTACTTAGAAGGGATATCTCAACATGTCACTGAATTCCTAGAAATTTTACCAAGCTATGAAATTCCTGAAGTTTTTGAGGAACCATTCTCAAGGAGAACTGACCTCCCCTTCATTCAGGGAGTTCTGGGTCTGAGAATCATCTCTCCAGTGAAAACTGATAAAGGGAATGCAATTATCTGGTGTGGTGATTCAAATGCAACGTGTGTTCACTAAGTATAGAGATATAATGGTTACATAAATCAAGAAACACTTTAGTAGAATGCCCACATATTTCAGTCCTAAGGACTCCCTGGTCAATTGGCCAATACCAAAAATTTTTGCAGGTCAAATCATTCCTGTGTTAGTCTGTTTGGACTGCTATACCAAAGTACCTTAGACTGGCTAATTTATAAACAGAAATTTGTTGTTCACAGTTCTGGTAGATGGGAAGTCCAAGATCAAGCACCAGCAGATTTGGTGTCTGGCAAGGACATGTTCATCATAAATGGTGCCTTCGTTTTGTCCTGACATGGCAGAAGGGGTATGATGCTCACTAAAGACTTTTGTAAGGGTGTTACTTCCATTCATGAGAGCTCTGCCTTGTGATTTAATCATGTCCTTAAGGCTCTACCTCTTAGTTCTATCACAGTGGGTATTAAGTTCCAACATATTAGTTTTGTGGGGGTGGCAGGGGGAACCAACATTCAGACCATAGCAATTCCCTTTACTACACTGAATCTGCTGCTCTTTGTAATATCCATGCATGCATGGTCTTTGGAAGTTAAATCCTGCCACTTGGTTCCTGGCCATGAGGAATTTATTATGCTCATTAAATTCTATAAGATCAGTTCTATGGCAGCATTTCCCAATGTTACTCCGGCTTCCAGAGAATAGCCACTACAGAGTTCCTTAAGGATTCTAACGCTGCCTTCACCATTGTATCTTTCAAAGCCTTGATTAGGGAATGCCCTCTGGGCCCTCTTGGGGAATATATTTAACAGGTGGATGAACATAACTATCATATTAAAACCAGTCTTCCTAAATGTATACCTTTCTCTGTACTACATTGTAGCAAGGAAGTCTGGCATCTCAACTTTGCTCAATATGAACCACTATTGGGTCCAGTTTTCAGTCAAACTGTTAGAATTACACTCAGTCATATCAACTAATGCCTTAAATCCAAAATCTCTACTTATCACATACATATCAAAAAAAAATTAAGCTAATCCAAGATTGTATATCTTCCATCCTAAACTAAAACCTTTAAGAAACATCCCCACACAGTTTATATGACTTTTCAAAATCTTGTAATTCTTTTAGAACCTTAAAGTACAACCTCATCAGTCACAGTTTTTACCTGGTCCCCTTGAATCTTCCAGGACGTGAGTCTGAGTATGGATTTAGCAGACATGACAGATAGGGAAAGGTCCTGAGGAAAATCAGCAGTACAACTGAAAAAGGTTTGCTGTGTTGAGGTGCCTCAACACAGTAAAGGCTGTATGTGTCAAATCCATAGTTAACATCATATTAAACAGAGAAAAGTTGAAAACTTTTCACCTAAAAATGGGAATAAACAAGGGAGCCTACATCACTCTTATTCAACATAGTGTTGAGAATCACAGCCAGAGAAATTACAGAAGAGAAAGAAACAAAGGGCATGCAAATTGGAAAGGAAGAAGTAAAATTTGGCCCTGTTTGCAGAAGACATGATCTTGTATATAGAAAAACCTAAATACTCTTAGAACTGATAAATTCAGTAAAATCTCAGTATACAAAATCAACATACAAAAATCAGTAGTGCTTCTACATGCTAACAATGACAACCTGGAAAAGACATCAAGAAAGCAATCCCATTTACATTAGCTCCAAAATACAATGAAATAAAATACCTGGGAATAAATTTAACTAATGAAGTAAACAATCTCTGCACGTAAAACAAACTAAAATACTGATGAAAGAAATTCAATAGACACACACAAATGAAAAGGCATCCCATGGCCATGAACTGGAAAAAATTAATGTTGTTAAAATGACCATACTCCCCCAAACAATCTACAAATTCAATGAAATCATTATCAAAGTGGCAATAGCATTCTTCACAGAAATACAAAAGGCAATTCTAAAATTTGTATGAAACCATAAAAGGCTTCCATGCTTATTGCAGCACTATTTACAATAGTCAAGATATGGAATCAACCCAAGTATCTATCAACAGATGAATGCATAAAGAAAATGTGGTATATATAGACAATGGAATACAGCTCAGCCATAAAAAAGAATGAAATCCTATCATTTGCAGCAACACAGATGAGCCTAGAGGACATTATGTTACATAAAATAAGCCAGAAACAGAAAGTTAAACGCTACATGCCTCACTCAAATGCAGAAGCTAAAATATATTGCTCTCATAGAAATAAAGAGTAAAGAAGTCCCAGAGGCTGGGAATGGTAGGGGAAAGGGGAGATAGGGAGAGATTTATTAAAGGAAACAAAATTATAGCCAGTTACAAGGAATAACCTCTAGTGTTCTATATCACTCTAGGATGACCATAGTTAACATTAATATATTTTTTCAAACAGCTAGAAGAAAAATAATATTGAACATTCCCAATAGAAAGAAATGATCGGTATTTTTGAGATGCTGG